CTTCCCGTTGCCCAGGCGAGCATGTGCAATGATCTCGCCCTCGCTCACTGCAACCTCTGCCTCCTGGGCTCAAGAGATTCTCCTGCCTCAGCCTCCTGAGTGGCTGGGACTACAGGCATGCATCACCACGCCCAGCTAATTTTTGTATTTTTAGTAGAGATGGGATTTTACCATGTTGGCTAGGCTGGTCTCGAACTCCTGACCTCAGGTGATCAGCTCACCTCGGCCTCACAAAGTGCTGGGATTACAGGCATGAGACACCATGCCCAGCCTCAGGTATTTATTTACAGCAATGGGAGAACGAAGTAACACAATGGGCCTAGAACGAGTGTTATTGAGCATATCCAGTCCCACACTATAAAACAAGCCTGCTAGTCCTCTGGCTTGTCCAAGGCTTGGATAAGACATGCTAAGGAGGGTAGTGGGACAGGGAGCCGAAAGGTAAGGGCTTTTACTGTTTTGAGTATAACCACCCTTTTTTTTTTTTTTTTTTTTTGAGACAGAATCTCTCTCTGTTACCAGGCTGGAATCTCGGCTCTCTGCAACCTCGACCTCACAAGTTCCAGTGATTCTCCTGCCTCAGCCTCCTGAGTACCTGGGACTACAGGCCACCACACCCAGCTAATGTTTGTATTTTCACTAGAGATGGGGTTTCACCATGTTGGTCAGGATGGTCTCAATCTCCTGACCTCATGATCCGCCCGCCTCGGCCTCCCAAAGTGCTAGGATTACAGGCATGGGCCACCACGCCAGGCCAAGTATAACCACTTTTTTAAACATGATTTTAATATTTTGATGACCAAAATGTTATGCAGCAAAACAAAAAAGAGAAGAAAAGAAACATGTAGGCCGGGCGCAGTGGCTTGCGCCTGTAATCCCAGCACTTTGAGAGGCCGAGGTGGGCGGATCAGGTCAGGAGATTGAGACCATCCTGGCTAACAGGGTGAAACCCCATCTCTACTAAAAATGCAAAAAAAAAAAAAAATCAGCCGGGCATGATGGCGGGTGCCTGTAATCCCAGCTACTGAGGGGGCTGAGGCGGGAGAATGGCATGAGCCTGGGAGGTAGAGTTTGCAGTGAGCAAAGATCGTGCCACTGCACTCCAGCCTGCGAGACAGAGCGAGACTCCGTCTCAAAAAAAAAAAAAAAAGAAAGAAAGAAAAACAACATGCACACAAGACACTACCAGAGAAAACATGTGATTACCTTGCAGGCCAGCTGCTTTTCAAACCTTGGAGAAACAAACGACCATGGACCCATGTTCTGAGGTTCCTCCTGACTCCAAATATGATCTATGAGAGAAGAAATTCATTTCAGCACCTCAAATAGACACATGCACACGGTCCCCAATTTACTATGATTCCACCTACGATGCTGTTTTCAACTTTACAATAGTGTGAAAGGGATTCACATTCACAAGAAACTGTACTTCAAGTACCCGTACAACAATTGTGTTTTTCACTTTTGGTACAGTATTCAATAAATTATTTGAGATACTCAACACTTCATGATAAAATGTAATCGATTTTGTGTTAAGTGATTGTGCCTAACTGTAAGCTAATGTGAGCGCTCTGAGTGTGTTTAAGGCGGGCTAGGCTAAGCTGTGTTTTGTAGGTTAGGTGTATTCAATGCATTTTTTTTTTAAATTTTAAGTTCTGGGGTACATGTGCAGGATGTGCAGTTTTGTTATACAGATAAATGTGTGTCATGGTGGTTTGCTGCGCAGATCATCCCATCACCTAGATATTAACCCAGCATCCATTAGCTATTCTTCCTGATGCTCTCCTTCCTCCCCCGCGACCCTCGGACAGGCCCCACTGTGTGTTGTTCCCTTCCTTGTGTCCACGTGTTTTCATCATTCAGCTCCCGCTTATAAGGGAGAACATGCGGTATTTGGTTTTTTGATCCTGCGTTAGTTTGCTGAGGATAATGGCCTCCAACTCCATCCCTGTCCCTGCAAAAGACATGATCTCATTCCTTTTTAAGGATGCATAGTATTCCCCGGTGTATATGTACCACATTTTCATGTTCTTTTTTTTTTTTTGACACGGAGTCTGGCATCCAGGCTAGAGTGCAGTGGCGCAATCTCAGCTCACTGAAACCTCTGTCTCCCAGGTTCAAGCAATTCTCCTGCCTCAGCCTCCCAAGCAGCTGGGACTACAGGTATGCGCCACCACACTCGGCTAATTTTTGTATTTTTAGTAGAGATGGGGTTTCACCATGTTGGTGACCCTGGTCTCAAACTCCCAACCTCAGGTGATCCACCCACCTCGGCCTCCCAAAGTGCTGGGATTACAGGAGTGAGCTACTGTGCCTGGCCTGCATTTTCAATTTAACAGTATTTTCAACTTACGATGCATTTATTGGGATGTAGCCCCCTCGTAAGTTGCAGAGCATCCATAAACCAAAACAGGAAGGGGATTATCTAGAGATATATTTAGAGAGATTTTTCTCTATATATTCAAATTCAATTAAATATATGCTTTACCAATATGGCATAGTGTTGCTTGTCTCTTTTTTCCTGGCAAATACAGTCATGTATCCACCATCTCAATCATGATACAGAACAGTTCTATCAACCCCCAGAATTTCCTCATCCTGACCTTTTGTAGTCGACTCTAGCTCCCACCCCCACCGCTGAAAATCACCAATCTTTTCTCTATCACTACAGTTGTTTCTTTTCCATAATGTCGTATCAATGAAATCACGCAGCCTTGGGGCTCCTGGAACGGTCATAAGCATTTGTGATTGATCCATGTTGTTATGCACGGCGAAGTTTCACTCCTTTCCATTGCTGAGTAGCACGTTATACGGATGTGCCACTAATTGTTTATTGATTCACTGGTTGAGGGACATTTTGGTTGTTTCCAGTTTGGGGCAATTAGGAATAAAGCTGCTATAAACACTTGCCCACAGATGTTTCTGTAAACCTGTTTTTTATTATTTTTTGAGACAGGGCCTCATTTTATCACCCAGTCTGGAGTGTAGTGGCGTAATCACAGCTCACTGCAGCCTCAACTTCCTGGGCTCAAGTGATCCTCCCACCTCAGCGTCTGAGATAGCTGGGACTACAGGCACATGCCAGCACACCTGGCTAATTTTTCTATTTGATTTTTAGAAAAGAGGATTTGCCATGTTGCCCAGGCTGGTCTTGAACTCCTGAGCTCAAGTGATCCACCTGCCTCGGCCTCCCAAAGTGATGGCACAGGCATAAGCCACTATGCCTGGACTATTTCTTTTTTTGTAATTAAAAATAATTTTTTGAGAGAGTGGGTCTCACTCTGTCACCCAGGCTGGAGTGCACGGCTTACTGCAGACTTGAACTGCTGGGCTCAAGCAATCTTCCCATCTCAACCTCTCGAGTAGGCTAAAACTACAGGCATGTGCTACAACACCTAGCTAATTCATTTTATTTTTTGTAGAGACAGGGTCTTGCTATATTGCTCAGCTGGTCTCCAACTCCTGGCCTCAAGTGATCCTTCTGCCTCGACCTCCCAAAGTGCTGGGACTACAAACACGAGCCACCATGCCTAGGCTGTGAATGTGTTTTTACTTCTCTTGCGTGAATACCTATGAGTAAGACTGCTGGGGCATATGGTAACTCAGTGTTTAACTTCGTAAGAAACATACTTTTTTCCAAGGTGGCAGCACCAGCTTGCATCCACCAGCAGCGAGTGTGGGTTCCAGTGGCTCTGCTCCTCATCAACACTTCATAGCATGAGTCTGTTGTTCTGTTTTAGTTTTAACCTTTCTAAGAGGTGTGTGGCCATACCTCATTTTGGATTAATTTTCATTTATTTTAACATGAATAATATTGAGCATCTTTTGAAGTGCTTATTTGCCATCCAGTTCTTTGGAGAAGTGCCTACTCAAAGTTTTTGTACATTTTGAAAAATTGGATTGTTTTCTTTGGGTTTGTTTGTTTTGTTTTTTTGAAATGGAGTCTCACTCTGTCACCCAGACTAGAGTGCAGTGGCACAGTCTTGGCTCACTGCATGTTCCGCCTCCTGAGTTCAAGTGACTTTCCTGCCTCAGTCTCTGGAGTAGCTAGGATTACAGGCGCCTGCCACCATGCCCGGCTATTTTATGTATTTTTAGTAGAGATGGGGCTTTTCCATGTTGGCCAGACTGGTCTTGAACTCCTGACCTCAAGTGATCTGCCCACCTTGGCCTCCCAAAGTGCTGGGATTACAGGCATGAGCCACTGTGCCAGGCCTTTGTTTTGTTTGTTTTTTGGAGACAGGGTCTTACTCTGTAGGCCAGGCTGGAGTGCAATGGCACAATCTGGGGTCGCTGAAGCCTCAGTCTCCCAGGCTCGAGAGATCCTCCCGCCTCAGCCACCCAAGTAGCTGGGACTACAGGCACCACCACGCCCAGCTAATTTTTATATTTTTAGTAAAAATAGGGTTTTGCCATGTTGGGCAGGCTGGTCCCAAACTCCTGACCTCAAGTGATCTGCCTGCCCTGGCCTGCCAAAGTGATGGGATTACAGGTGTGAGCCACTGCACCTGGCTGAGATTCAATTTTCTAATAACCCCCACCACCTCTTTTCATTTGAAAGAGTTGAAATGGGTTTCGGGTATCTGAACATCAAAACCCCAAATGAAAACAACCCCTTACCTTTAACATGTTTGTATTTGCTCATCTCTTGCTGTAAAGAATCCAATGGGAAGGGGCAGAGTTCCTCTACGCGGATGATGGCAAAGTCATGCCTCTTGGGCCCGAGAGATTCCCTTTGCTTCAGCAGGGAGTAGTAATGTTTGCCAGAGCAGAACACGAGGGTCTTAACCCTGTTGGACAGAAAAGGAACAGCAGGTGGGGGGAAATTTTTTTAAAGTAAGAATTATGTCAGAAGAGGCCAGGCGTGGTAGCTCACGCCTGTAATCTCAGCACTTTGGGAGGCTGAGGTGGGCAGATCACGAGGTCAGGAGATCGAGACCATCCTGGCTAACACAGTGAAACCCTTTCTCTACTAAGAATACAAAAAAATTAGCCAGGCATGGTGGCAGACACCTGTAGTCCCAGCTACCTGGGAGGCTGAGGCAGGAGAATGGTGTGAACTCGGGAGGCGGAGCTTGCAATGAGCTGAGATTGCGCCACTGCACTCCAGCCTGGGCAACAGAGCAAGACTCCATCTCAAAAAAAAAAAAAAAAAAATGATGTCAGAAGCGGGGACAGTGCAGATTTAAAGGCCTCATGAACAAGGTGGTGGGGGTCTCGGCAGCTGGGTTTAGTCATAGGCTATTCCTAGAGATCCTTCTTCAGCAACACATGCCTCCAAAGTCCACTTTCCAACCCACACTTAACTCCTACTCCACTGACTTAAAGGAGTTATATTAGGATACGGGAGGTCAGGCATGGTGACTCACGCCTGTAAATCCCAGCACTTTGGGAGGCTGAGGCGGTTGGATAACCTGAGGTCAGGAGTTCAAGACCGGCCTGGCCAACATGGTGAAACCCCATCTCTACTAAAAATACAAAAATTAGCAGGGTGTGGTGGTGGGTGCCTGTAATCCCACCTACTTGGGAAGCTGAGGCAGGAGAATCACTTGAATCCGGGAGGCAGAGGTTGCAGAGAGCCGAGATCGTGCCAGTGCACTCCAGCCTGGGCGATACAGCCAGACTCAGTCTCATAAATAAATAAATAAATAAAAATAGGAGAGGGGAGATCTGCGTCACCTGTCATCTCTTCATGTGAACTACTTTTCCCATTAATTGAAATTCTGCCGCAGAGTATGAAAACAGAGACACAGATCTTACTTTTCTGGATCCACAGATGAATCACCAATGACCGGGTTAAATGTTGTGCCTGGTGCCATTTCTTGAAGAGTTGACACGGCTGCCTACAAGGGAGAAGAGGCCACACATCCAGCAAGCAACAGAAAGAGGTGATGCTGCCACTTACAAGGGTTGCTACCAAACGTGAGTGCCAAAGTTCCAGCCTAGCACTGCAAGGAAACACATGTACTAACAGACACAACACCTTACCAAAAAATATCAGTTCTGTACACTTCAGAGTAAAACTATGTTTCTGAGGTTACATAAGATAGCCTTTTGGAATCTTAACACTTGGGGAGGCCAAGGCAGGAGGAACACTTGAGGCCAGAAGTTCAAGACCAGCCTGGGCAACACAGTGAGACTCCCTTCACACCCCCTACTCCACCATCCCCACTGGTGCCCTGCCTCTATTTAAAAAACAACAACAACAACAAAAACAGGCCAGATGCGGTGGCTCATGCTGGTAATCCCAGCACTTTGGGAAGCCAAGGTGGGCAGATCACCTGAGGTCAGGGTTCAAGACCAGCCTGGCCAACATGGTGAAATCCCATCTCTACAAAAATACAAAAATTAACCAGGCATGACGATGGCTGTCTGTAATCCCAGCTACGCAGGAAGCTGAGGTGGGAGGATGGCTTGAGCTTGGAAGGCAGAAGTTGCAATAAGCCATGATCACACCACTGCACTCCAGCCTGGGTGACAGAGCCAGACCTTGTCTCAAAAAAAAAAAAAAAGAAAAAGACTAGGTGCAGTGGCTCATGCCTATAATCCCAGCACTTTGGGAAGGAGAGGCAGACAGATTTCCTGACATCAGGAATTCAAGACCAGCCTAGCCAACATGGTGAAACCCTGTCTCTACTAAAAGTATAACAGTTAGCCAGGTGTGGTGGCACGTTCCTGTAATCCCAGCTACTCGGGAAGGTGAGACAGGAGAATTGCTTGAACCTGGGAGCCGGAGGTTGCAGTGAGCTAAGGTCCCACCATTGCACTACAGCCTGGGTAATGAGAAACTCTGTCTCAAGAAAAAAAAAAAAAAAAGTAAAAAGATTGCCTTTTGTGCTCATTTTGGCAGCATGTATACTAAAATTAGAACACTGCGGAGAAGATTAGCATGGCCCCTGCACAAGGATGACAATAAAAATTGAAAAATAAATTTAAAAGATTACCTTTTACCTGGTGCCACGATGTAATTAAAAAATCAGGCTGGACGCGGTGGCTCATACCTGTAATCCCAGCACTTTGGGAGGCCAAGGCAGGCATATCGCTTGAAGCCAGGAGTTTGAGACCAGCCTGGCCCACATGGTGAAACCTCGTCTCTATTAAAAATACAAAAATGAGCCAGGTGTGGTGGCACACACCTGTAATCCCAGCTACTTGGGAGGCTGAAGCAGGAGAATCGCTTGAACCCAGGAAACGGAGGTTGCAGTGAGCTGAGATCGTGCCATTGCACTCCAGCCTGGGTGACAGAGCAAAACTCTATCTCAAAAAAAAAAAAAAGGCTGGGTGTGGTGGCGCACACCTGTAGTCCCAGCTATGCCGGAGGCTGAGGCTTGCTTGAACTCAGGAGGCAGAGGTTGCAGCGAGCCAAGATTATGCCGCTACATGCCAGCCTGGGTGACAAAGTGAGACTCTGTCTCAAAAAAAAAAAAGAAAGAAAGAAAAAAAGAGCCCCCCAGAAAAACGGTGCTAAAGGCATTGCATTAACTCTTCCTAAATGTTCAGTGATGCTTCCAGGCTGATGAGGTCACCTCAAAACATATAAGATTGTTTGCGAAACACTGGGTGAGAAAGAAGCAATAGACCACTATAAGTGAACTAGAAATGAACAGCTGCTATTGGTGAGATGGCTGAAATCCATTTCCTGGCTATTGACTAGATACTGACTCCCAGGGCCGGGCTGGGGTGAGTCAAGTAACGTACCTAGTGCAAAAAGTTTAAGGAGGCACTGATTTTAGGGCTGTGAAAACATCACCCCTCAGAAAGAGTACCTCCCTACTTCCCTCTGAATGCTAAAAACTGCTTAAAACAACGAGGCCAGGCATAGTGGCTCACACCTATAATCCCAGCCGAGTCAGCCCGATCACTTGAGGCAAGGAGTTCGAGAACAGCTTGGCCACCATGGTGAAACTCTACTAAAAATACAAAAATTAGCTGAGCATGGTGGTGCAAGCCTGTAATCCCAGCTACTCGGGAGGCTGAGGCAGGAGAATTGCTTGAGCCTGGGAGGCAGAGTTTGCAGTGAGCGGAGATCACACTCTGCACTCCAGCCTGGGCGACAGAGCGACACTCCGTCTCAAAAAACCAACCAACCAACCAACCAACATTGCAAGACTCGCAGTTTTTCTTCAGTACCCCTCAATTCCAAATATATACTCTCGAACCTTGGCGAACAGCACAAGATATTCTTGAACAGCCGAATTCTAAATGTCTTATTTCACCTCAGCAGTCATATCCAAATAAATGTAAAAATTTTAATACTCCCAGCCGGGCACGGTGGCTCATGCCTGTAATCCCAGCACTTTGGGAGGCCGAGGCAGGCGGATCACCTGAGGCCAGCACTTCGAGACCAGCTGGTCCAACACATTGAAACCCCATCTCTACTAAAAATACAAAAATTAGCTGGGCGTGGTGGCAAGTGCCTATAATCCCAGCTACTCAGGAGGCTGAGGCAGGAGAATCACTTGAACCTGGGAGCTGGAGGTTGCAGTGAGCCGAAATAGTGCCACTGCAATCCAGCCTGGGCAACAGAACGAGATTCCGTCTCAAAAAAAATAAAATAAAATAAAATAAAACAAAACAACACAACAACAACAAATGTAATACTAATTAAAACTCATATGAACCTGAAAAAATTATAGCAGATAGGATAAATATATGCTTAGTAGTATTTATTATTTTGAACATTTCCATTTGAAAACTAGCATATTTTTGTGATTTGAAAAACATAATGTACACTTAACACATAAATAGGTAAACCTAAGTATGTGTTAAATGATGAAATGATGAATTTCACGCCACTGCACTCCAGCCTGGGCAACAGTACAAGACTCCATCTCAAAAAGAAAAAACATAAAAAAGAATGATAAATAATACCATTCATTTCCAACAAAATACTTTGAATTCCCAAATTGCTGCTATCAACAAAAATAGTGCTTAGACCATTTGGGCTTTAAAACTTTTTCTTTTCTTTTTCAGACAAGGTCTTGCTGTGTTGCCCAGGCTGGACTGTAGTGGCCTGGTCCTACCTCACTGCAGCCTTGAACTCCAGGGCTCAACAGATGCTCCCATCTCAGCCTCCTGAGTAGCTGAGAGCACAGGTGTGGGCCACCAAACCAGCTAATTTTTTTTTTTTTTTAGAGATGGGGTCTTACAATGTTGCCCAGGCTGCTCTCAAACTCCTGGGCTCAAGCGATCCTCTTGCTGAGGCCTCCCAAAGTCCTGGTATTATAGACATGAGCCACCGTGCCCCGCCTAATAGCCTAAAAGCTTGTGTAAATATTATTTCTGCTCAGGAGGACACTAGTGTAACATCTGCTATCCCTGTCCTTCATTATGATTGACAGAAAACCTACCTATCTTTCCAGGTAGTCTTAAAAGGCTGTTCAAAAAATGAAAGCAGGCCGGGTGTGGTAGCTCACGCCTGTAATCCCAGTACTTTGGGAGGCCAAGGCACGCAGATCACCTGAGGTCAAGAGTTAGAGACCTGTCTGGCCAACATGGCGAAACCCCGTCTCTACTAAAAATACAAAAATTAGCTGGGGGTGGTGGTGCGCACCTGTAATCTCAGCTACTTGGGAGGGTGAGGCAGGAGAATCGCTTAAACCCAGGAGTCAGAGGTTGCAATGGGCTGATATTGCACCATTGCACTCCAGCCTGAGCAACAGAGTGAAACTGTGTCTCAAAAAACAACAAAAAAAATGAAGGTAGCAAAGTCAGTTGAAACTAAAAAGGTGTTTCTATAATTTAAATATAATTAGATATGGAAAATAGAGAAAAATGGAGTGCAAAAAATGACAAAAGGAGGAAGGCTTATTCGCCAGCTTCTTCTACTTACTGGGAGCCTGAGTAACATCTTAGGAGAAGCAACAATGAGTGGTTTTCTGAAGTTCCGGACCATTTGTCTTCTAAGCAAGTGGAAATACTGTGCGGGAGTTGTTGGATGAACCACAAACATGTTCACAGTGTCTCCGTCCACCCCCTCTTCCGCACTGTCACACATCTGGGAGAGAAGTGGCAAGAAAGGAGAAGAACATTCAGATCATCTATTTCAGTCGTAGTGACAATGGGCTAGCCAAAGGGAAACACAGGTGTTCTCAATTACAGCAGAAAAGCTATTGCCCAACATTACAGAAAAATACCAGCAGGTGCATTAATGAACGGTGAGGTATTAACCAAAGGAGAGCTCTGATGGCTTTCTCCACTGGCCCAATTCTGTGTCATCTAACACAATTGTTTCAAAACACGGCTAGACAGCAACAATCATCTGGAAAGAACTTTAAAAAAAAAAAAAATACATATTCCGATTACTACAGGGTTAAGATAGGGGAAGGAAGCGCTATCAGAATCTCACTTTCCTAATGTAATAAACAAAATGATTGTCGGTGTGTGTGTCTGTGTGTATGTGTGTGTGTTTTAAGACAAAAATAAAATCAAAAGCAGCTCATAGAAAGGTTGAAAAATTCAGGGCAAGGAAGTTAAATCTCAGAAGATCCTGGTGGGACAGAAAGCCGAGGCATAACTCCTAACCCTACCCCAAAGGCAGTGAAAGGAAAGAAAGAGAGTTGACAAAATCTGGACAATTCTTTTTGTTGTTGTTGTTACAGAGTCTCGCTCTCTCGCCCAGGCTGGAGTTCAGTGGCACAATCACAGCATACTGTAACCTCAAACTCTGGACTCAAGCAATCCTCCCACCAGAACCTCCCAAGTAGCTGAGACTACAGGTGCCTGCTACCACACCTGACTAATTTTAAAATTTTTGTAGAGATGGGGTCTCGTTATGATGCCCAGGCTGGTCTCAAACTCCTGGGTTCAAGCGATCCTCCCACCTCAGCCACCCAAACTGCTGAGATTACAGGCATGAGCCACCGTGCCTGGCCTTAATCATGATCATCTTCTTTTTGCATACACACTTGATTCCCTTGACCCTTCACTCCAACCCATAAACCTAGTTAATCCCCACTTTCTGCCTGTTCCATGTCTGCAGAGAATGTAGCTGGAGACAACACAAAATCACACCAATGGTCTTTAGAATCCTGACCAAGAATCTTAGGTGGGGCCTTAAGGACCTTAGACTCTTAAACTCTATTTCCCTAATTCACTCATTCTCGTCTTTCCCAGGTGACTAATTCACACCTTTAAACTCAGGACCTCCTCATCCATCACCACTCTCAGCTAATGACCTCAGAGATGTCCTCAGACCATCTACACACAGATTCTCACCTGCACCCATCTTCTCTGCTTTCCATTTACTGCCACCAACCATGCTCCTGTCTAAAGCTAATTTAAGCCACCATGTACTAGAGCCTACCCCATCTTAAGCATGCAAGGAAATCATTCAGTTATTCTGCCCTCACCCCTACATCACCATTCTCTTCTTCTCTACTAGATCATGCCTGTCACCAAACAGGCCTTATTTCCTACCTTTAACACAAAACAAAGGCCTGGCGCGGTGGCCCACACCTGAAATCCTAGCACTTTGGGAAGCCAAGGAGGCAGTATCACATGAGGTCAGGGGTTCAAGAGCAGCCTGGCCAACATGGTGAAACCCTGTCTCTACTAAAAATACAAAACTTAGCCGGGTATCATGGCACACACCTATAATCCCAGGTACTCGGGAGGCTGAGGCAGGAGAATTGCTTGAACCTGGGAAGCAGAGGTTGCAGAGAGCCAAGACTGCACCATTTTACTCCAGCCTGGGTGACAGAGCAAGACGCCATCTCAAAAAGAAAACAAAACACAAAAAGAACTCTTGACACAAATTTCCCCACCAGCTATTGTCCCATTTTCTTATTCTATTTACAGCAATACTCCTCAAAAGATTTAAGTTGACTTTCCTCCCTTTTTTTTTTTTTTTTTTTTTGGAGACAGGGTCTGGCTCTCTTGCCCAGGCTGGAATACAGTGGCGAAACCTCAGCTCAGTACAACCTCTGCCTCCCAGGGTCAACTGATCCTCCCACCTCAGCCTCCCAAGTAGCTGGGATTGCGGGCATGCACCACCGCCCAGCTAATTTTTTTAGTTTTATTTTTAGCAGAGATGGGGTCTCACCATGTTGCCCAGGCTAGTCTCAAACTCCTGAGCAAGTGCTCCTCCCACCCCGGCCTCCCAAAGTGCTGGGATGACAGGCGTGAGCCACCGCGCTCGGCCCACTTTCCTCCCTGGAATACGTTCTGGAGATCTACTGCACAGGACAGTGACTGCAGTTAACGTTATACCTGAAAACTGCCAAGAGGATAGATTTTAAATGTTCTCTTCCCAAAAAAATGGTGAGTATGTGAGGTGATGGGTCTGTTAATTGCTTGATTCAATCATTTAACAATGTATACCTGCACCAAAACATCACATTTTATACCATTAATATATACAATTTTACATTTGTCAATTAAAATTTTTAAATAAATACACTTCCCTTTCTCTAGAATCAGGAATCAGGGGTGTCCAATCTTTTGGCTTCCCTGAGCCACACTGGAAAAAGAATCATCTTGGGCCACACATAAAATACACTAACAATGGCTAATAAGGTACAAAAAAAAAATCACAAATAATGTTTTAAGAAAGTTTATGAATTTGTATTGGGCCACATTCAAAGCTGTTCTGAGCTGCATGTGGTCCATGGACACAGGTTAGACAGGTTGCTCTAGATGGTCCTTAGTATGTCATCAACCATCAAATGGACTCCTGATTTCTAAATCCAGTGGTTCATTCTTACGCCTCATCTATTTATTATTTGTATATTTTTAGTAGAGACAGGGTCTCCCTGTGTTGCCCAGGCTGGTCTCAAACTCCTGGGTTCAAGCGATCCTCCCACCTCGGCCTCTCAAAGTGCTGGGATTACTTCACTCCTCATCTTAATTGACATTGACACTCCCTCTTCTTTGATATGTTTCCTTCGCTTGCTTTCTAAGATCTTCCTCCCACCTCACTGGTTGCTCCTCCTTCATCTCACTTACTCTTCTTCTCTGCATCCTCTGAGGTTGGACTATCCCAGGGTCCAGAGCTCAGGCACCTTTTCTCTTCCACTGTGCTTACTGCTTTGATGACTTCATCCAGATTCATGACTGTCAATGTCATCTAGTGGCCGATGACTCTGAAACTGTATCCCGCACCTACCCATTTCCTCTATTTCTTCAAAAACTAGTAGTTTTGTATTTCACATGTCATTCTTTAGTTTATCTACCATTACTCTAATTTCTTTTTAAATAAAATTCTTGATGTCATCATTAATGTAACTATCCATCTATGTGTTGTTCTATCTACCTATCTATTAAGCTATCATCTATTTATACATTTTAGCGGCATACATGCTAAAATCATTAACGATATGCATGCTGAAGTACTTGGGGTGACATGTATTGATATCTCTATTTATTTATTATGTATGTATGTATGTATATATTTATTTATTTATTTAATTTTTTGAGACAGAGTCTTTGCTGTCCAGGCTGGAGTGCCATGGTGTGATCTTGGCTCACTGCAACCTCTGCCTCCTGGGTTCAAGCGATTCTCCTGCCTCAGGCTCCTGAGTAGCTTGGATTACAGGCATGAGCCACCACACCTGGCTAATTTTTGTATTTTTAGTAAAGATGGGGTTTCACCATGTTAGCCAGGCTGGTCTCAAACTCCTGACATCAAGTGATCCACCTGCCTTGGTCTCCCAAAGTGCTGGGATTACAGGTGTGAGCCACTGTGCCCGGCTGATATCTCCATTTATTTTGAAATGAATCAAAAAATAAGATGGATTGAAGGATACCAGAATGACAGATGAATAGATATGTGACAAAACAAGTATAATAAAAAATAATGGTGAATTCTAGGGAGTGGGTATATGAGTATTCGCAGTAAATTCTTTTCAACTTTTCTGTATATCTGAAAGTCTTCATAATAAACCATGAGGAAGTAACACGCAAAAAGAGACATTTGTAATGATTCACACCAAATGAGGACAATGGCTATTTCTGGGAGGATATTTCAAATGTTTTAATAACCAGCCAGGGTCGGTGGCTCGTGCCTGTAATCCCAACACCTTGGGAGCTGAGGCGGGCGTATCACTTGAGGCCAGGAGTTTCAGACCAGCCTGGCCAACATGCAAGAACACCAATCTCTACTAAAAACACAAAAATTAGCCGGGCATGGTGGCATATGACTGTGGTCCCAGCTACTTGGAGGCTAAGGCAGGAGAAGCGCTTTAACCCAAGGGGCAGAGGTTGCAATAGCCGAGATCACACCACTGCATACCAGCCTGGGCAACAGAGCGAGACCCCATCTCCAAAAAAAAAAGGTGTCTAGCAGATTCTGATGATCAGTCTGGTATAAGAACTGCTGATCCTGGCACAAGAGAACTTTAATTGCCATAAAACCGTGATACTATTATACCTGATACATTATGTTTCCGAAGAAAATTGACATTGCATCAAATCTGTTTCCCTCAAATACTGAGCTATCTTACAGTTAGGTGGGCGTTAAGCTACCCGCAGGAGGTAGAAAAGCTCTAGGAAGCAGGACAGTGATTGTCTGACTCCAGAAGACATTGCCCTTACCTGCAGGAAACGCTCTATTCGACAGGATGAGTGGTCTGGCCCAGCCCCGTCGTAGCCGTGTGGAAGGAGGATGACGAGGCCGCTTTGGAGGAGCCACTTGGCTTCTCCTGGAAAAGCACCATGTGGGGAGTAAGAGCTCTGCGAAGCGGGGACAAAGCGGCCTCATGTGACTCAGCTGGGGAAATCAATGTTAGTTTTCTGCCTGACCCCCCAAAACTGCTTTTATTACATGCACTTTCTAGAACTATTATGCTATACTTAGGGAAATGTCCATTTCGTTGAATGAAAACTTACCATGGGCTGGGCACGGTGGCTCACACCTGTAATCCCAGCACTTTGGGGGGCTGAGGCGGATGCATCACTTGAGGTCAGGAGTTTGAGACCAGCCTGGCCAACATGGTGAAACTCCGTCTCTACTAAAAATACAAAAATTGGCCAGGTGTAGTGGTGCACGTCTGTAGTCCCAGCTACTCTTGAGGCTGAGGTGGGAGAATCACTTGACCCCGGGAGGTAGAGGTTGCAGTGAGCTGAGATCGTGCCACTGCACACCAGCCTAGGGGACAGAGTGAGACTCCGTCTCAAAAAACGAAATCATAACCTATCACGGCACAGGCCCTGGGCTTTTACGAGTGGAAGACAAACTCAAAGGGGAACGTTCCCAGCTTCCTGGACAGCACATGCCACTCCAATATCACTGCAGGCACCACTCTTACAAGAATGGGCAGCTCCCACCTTTCTCACAGCCCGGCTGACAACACAGGCCACTGTCTTGAAACAGGGGGTGGTGGACACGACAGAACAGTCTCTGGACAAGTCAGAAGTCCAGGTTCCTCAGGCACTTTTGTTCCTCCCAGTGAAAATGTTACAGAGAAGCATGACTATCGGAAAGACTGAAGGCGGGTATTCAAAACCCAAGAATGGGCATCCCTGGAAAATGGGATTCAGGGTCTGGGGAGAGACTCAGATGTTTACTTCAATTCCTTCTAATTTTTACAGTGAGCAGGTACTGCTTTGGAAGTTTTCAGACACTGGAGCGGGTTTTCATGGCCCTACTGACTCCTGGGCACAGGCGCTGGGTGGCACCAGTGCTCCTGCTGACAGAGAGCTTGGGTGTTTGTCCTAGTAACACATGAACCTGACAGTGGCTACACTCCCATCATAACAGAGTGACCCCAACTCCCTGGAGGTGCCGCTACACACGGGAGTCTCACAGGCAGCAGCGGCCCCTTTTCATTCATTTGTCCCCATGAGGCTGGGGCCATGCAGGGACCCCCACCTGTACCCACCTTATACACTGACACCAACCTCCAGAGATGAATGTGTCAAAGATGATCTGGGCACCATTGAAGAAATCACCAAACTGTGCCTCCCACAGGGGCAGTAACTTTGGGCTCTCAATGCTCATCCCGTATTCGAATCCCAAGACGGCCTCTTCTGACAGGGGGCTGTTGCTGACCTAATCCCAGGGAAGAGAAGGCAACGCTGGCATGCGAGGGCAAGGGCAGAGCATTGGGTTCCTGGGAACTTATCAAAGGGAGGTGGTGCGGAGAGGGAGCCTTGCTCTCATTCATCACCACATTCTTTTTGTTTGTTTGTTTTTGTTTTTTGAGATGGAGTTTCGCTTTTGTCGCCCAGGCTGGAGTACAATGGCTCCATCTCAGCTCACTGCAACCTCCGCCTCCCAGGTTCGAGCGATTCTCCTGCCTCAGCCTCCTGAGTAGCTGGGATTACAGGTGCCCGCCACCACGCCCAGTTAATTTTTGTATTTTTAGTAGAGACAGGATTTCAGCATGTTGACCAGGCTGGTCTCAAACTGCTGAGCTCAGGTGATCCACCCACCTTGGCCCCCCAAAGTGCTGGGGTTACAGGCATGAGCCACCACGCCCGGCCTCATCACCACATTCTTTTGAGAAGAGATTTGCTGCTTGGTGTCAGGGATGCAGATGAGAAAAGTTGGGACAAAGAGAGGAAAAGATAAAAGAGGCCGGAATATGGGTATTACAGAGTTTCTTCAAGGATAAGCACATATACTTCTCAGATGACCCTCCTCTGGAGCTGAGTATACAACTGTGTCTTACAAGGTTTTCAAAAACCTGTGGCCGGGCGTGGTGGCCTCCCAACAATTTGGGAGTTGGGAGGCCAAGATGGAAGGATCGCTTGAGCACAGGAGTTTGAGACCAACCTGGGCAACATGGCAAAACCCCGTCTCTACAAAAAGCAGACAAAAATTAGCTGGGCATGGTGGCACATACCCGTAGTCCCAACTACTTAGGAGGCTGAGGTGGGAGGATTGCTTGAACCTGTGAGGTGGAGGTTGCATTGAGCCGAAATTGCGCCACTACACTCTAGCCTGGGCAACAGAGTGAGACTCTGCCTCAAAAAAAAAAAAAAAAGAAAGAAAAGAAAAAAAATGGCTGATCTTGGTTTGAGAAATACATGGTAGTCATGTCTGTGTTAATTTCCTGATTTTGGTGTGTTATGATGGAGAAGGATGTCCCTGTTTGTGGAAATACACACTAGGGGGCACCAGGATGGCAACCTGCTCTCAAATGGTTCAAGATGGAAAAGAGGAGGTTAGGAGGATCACTTGGACACAGGAGGTTGAGGCTGCAGCGAGCTGTGATTGCATCACTACACCCCAGCCTGCGTGACAGAGCGAGATCCTGTCTCAAAAGAAAAAAAAAAAAATGAGAAAATGTTCCTTACTATATACAACACTTTGGTAATTTTGTGTTTCTTTCAAATTTTAAAAAAACATATACTTAAGTCACATCTTTATAGAATATTATTTTGGAATAAAAGGGAAGGATGGGCAGAGTGTGGTGGCTCACGCCTATAATCTCAGCACTTTGGGAGGCTGAGATGGGCAGATCACTTGAGGTCAGAAGTTTGAGATCAGCCTGGCCAATGTGACAAGACCCAGTCTCTGCTACAAACACAAAAATTAGCAAGGCCTGGTGGCACACATCTGCAGTCCCAGCTACTCAGGAGGCTGAGGTGGGAGAACCACTTTAAACTAAGAAGCTGAGGTTGCAGTGAGCCGAGATTACGCCACTGCACTCCAGCCTGGGTGACAGAGCGAGACTTGGTCTCAAAAAAAAAAAAAAAAAAACCAGGATGAACTGATACGTGCTACATGCATGGATGGACCTTGAAAACATGATGCCAAGTCAAAGAAGCCAGTCACAAAAGGCCACATGTTATACCATCCTATTTACATGAAACATCCAAAATAGGCAGATCAATAGAAACAAGTCGATGAGTAGTGTCCAGGGGCTGGAGGGAGGAAGAAGTGGGCAGTGACTGCTAATGGGCGTGGGCTTTCTTTCTAGGGCAATGAAAATGTTCTAAAATTAGATAGTGGTGATGATTACACAACTCTGTGAATAGACTACAAACTGCTCAAGTGTACACACTGAGAGGTTGAATTTTATGAGTTATAGCTCAATAAAGCTTTTATTTAAAAAAATAAAAATCCTCTAGGCTGGGCACGGCGGCTCACACCTATAATCCCAGCACTTTGGGAGGCCAAGGCAGGAGGATTGCTTGAGGCCAGGAATTCAAGACGACACTGGCCATCACAGTGAGACCCCTATCTCAACAAAATATTTACAGTTAGCCAGGCCTGGTGGTGCTTGCCTGTAGTCCCAGCTACTTGAGAGGCTGAGGTGGGAGGATTGCTTGTGCCTAACAGCTGGAGGCTACAGTGAGCTATAATTGCACCATGGGACTCCAGCCTGGGCAACAGAGGAGGACCTGTCTCTCTCTCTCTCTCACACACACACACACACACACACATATACACACACACAAAGATTGAGATGTACAACAGAGTTGGGGGGAAAAACACACCCCAAGGACCTATTCACTTATCATGAAGGCTGCCTGGCCTCTGTCCCTTCCTAGAAGCCATTATTGATAAGGGAACGCTGGTCAGTTATAAAATTCAATACAGACAATGAAGGCAGATCACTGCTTACGAAAATACAGCTACTCTCACTACCAAGATCAAGCAAGAGTTTCTCCCAGGGTTTTCACATAGAGGACATGGTATTAAATAATAAATTACTATTATTATTTTTTGAGACAGAGTCTTGCTCTGTTGCCCAAGCTGGAGTGCAGTGGTATGATCTCGGCTCACTACCTCCACCTCCTGGGTTCAAGCAATTCTGCCTCAACCTCCCGAGTAGCTGGGATTACAGGCATGTGCCACCATGCCCGACTAATTTTTGTATTTTTAGTAGAGACAGGGTTTCACCATGTTGGCCAGGCCGGTGTTGAACTCCTGCCCGCCTTGGCCTCCCAAAGTGCTGGGATTACAGGTGTAAGCAACCACACCCAGCCTAAATAATAAATTAAATCTTCGGCCAGGTGTGGTGGTTCACACCTGTAATCCCAGCACTCTGGGAAGCCAAATAATCCCAGCTACTTGGGAGGCTGAGGCAGGAGAACTGCTTCAACCCAGGAGGCAGAGGTTGGAGTAAGCCAAGATCATGCCATGGCACTCCAGCCTGGGTGACAGAGTGAGGCTCCGTCTCAAAAATAAATAAATAAATATAAATTAAATCTTCAACAGTATCCACAAAATAGACACAGGTATTTAATTGGGACTTTTTCAATAGCAAAATTCAAAACTGATAATAAATATCAAAGCACAATTCAATGAAAGCTTCATGTGAGGTAGGGGAATACTAAACATTTCAGTATCTAGTTCAGCAATCTGACTTGATCCAAGGGTAGATTTTGGACTAACTTAAAGAAAAGATGAGCTCCATATCCCTTCAGTTATCTTCCTAAAATGTGGCTTTTGCCAAGTGAATTTTTTTTTTTTTTTGAAATGGAGTCTTGCTTTATCACTAGGCTGGAGTGCAGTGGCGCGATCTCAGCTCACTGCAACCTCCACCTCACGGGTTCAAGCGATTCTCCTGCCTCAACCTCCTGAATAGCTGGGACTACAGACACGTGCCACCACGCCCAGCTAATTTTTGTATTTTTAGTAGAAATGGGGTTTCACCATTTTGGCCAGGATGGTCAAAATGGTGACCTCGTGATCTGCCTGCCTCAGCCTACCAAAGTGCTGGGATTACAGGTGTGAGCCACCACACCCGGCCGCCAAATGAATTTTTTATAGAGTGTCAGTAACTCAAGATGATGTTCTCAAACTAATGGCTAGAGTAGAAAAGAAGATGACATGCCACTCAACTTACCTTAAGGAATAAGTTATTTTCATAAACATCATGTGCTAGACACTTGAATACTTGTTTGAGGTAAATAAATGAAAACTCCACTACTACCCTTAAGGCACGAAAGAGAAGGGCACAGAAGCTGCTACACAGAAATACATGGTTACATCTGGCTGGGTGCAGCGGCTCACACCTATACTTCCAGCACTTTGGGACGCCAAGGCAGGTGGACTGCTTGAGGCCAGGAGTTCAAGACCAGCCTGAACAATATGGCGAAACTCCATCTCTACAAAAAATAAATAAATTAGCCAGGAATGGCGCCTCATGCCCATGGTCCCAGCCATTCAGGAGGTTGAAGCAAGAGGATCCCTTGAGCCTAGGAGGTGGAGGCTGCAGTGAGCCAAGATGGCACCACTGCACTCCAGCCTGGGCAATAGAGGAAGATTAAGTCTCAAAAAAAAAAAAGAAAGAAATACATGGTTATGTGTACATTCGTCAAATCGATCATACCTTAGGGAACAGGTAACCTTGAGGATGCGCGATTTTGCTTTCCTTAAGTAGGCAAGGAATACTGACTCATCCACATCTTTGAATAACTTTAATGAATTACCGCAATATGCAGATGATAATGTCAACTTTGAGTTGACAAAACACATCGATTTGACATTTACATGATTACAGATAAGTCACCAGAAGAAGAAAGCTCCAGCCTACTCTCTAGTGGGTTACTTCCATCCCAAATTGACAGACCCACCTCATCCACCCATCTAGCAGCCCTTTACTTCCAAAGGTACTGAACCCAAAGTTGCCAGCACTCGTTCCTATTTGTTCTAAGATCCTGGAACTGTAATTGTTGGCACCTAGATTTTACAACAGCTATAGAAACATCTCACCTCTAGAAATCCCTTCTGATTGGGGTCCATATGGTTCAGGGGGATGTAGGTGTCATCGGTCTCCTGGCAAACCACCATTGCATGTCTCTGACTGAAAGTTCCACGGCCAACATCTTGGCCACTTAGACGAACATTAAAACCTTAAGCAAGCAAGAAAAAAAAAAGTCAGATTCCCATAAATAACCTAATAATAAGGTGTGGTGACTCTAAATTCTTATATACTGGCTTAATCCTGAGAATTTTCCTTAGGATAACAGATAGTTATTAATATATGCTGTCTGATATTCAAAAGTCTATAGTTAAGATGAGATTCTGTAAGAATGGAGAGGTATCATGTGCCCTGCAATTTTTAGAGAAAACTATCTTTCCAGTACATCCAACACTAGCCCTTTGTTTCCCAGGCATAACTGTCCTATGTCTATACTCTGATGAAGGTTGTCAGCATGACTTATACTACAATAAAGTAATATTGTCAGGAAAGAAAAATTAACATGTTTTAGAACCTCTCTGGTCAATGAACACAATGGGAGGTAGTTATAACTCAAATAAACTGAAAGGTAACAGGTAGCAAACATGATTAAAAGTACTCTCTACTAGCTAGACAGAAAATTCTTACCTTGAGCAAGTAAGGAACCCAAGGCAAGAGCTTCCGCAGTGGCCCAGTCTAGCTTGGTTCCATCCATCATCTTCTCCATTCTGGACTGTAAAATTCAGAGGAAGAAAAAAAGGAATGTCTAAGAATCCATCTCCTTTTTCACAATGAGTACAAAAAATTTAATGCAGGCCAGGCATGGTGGCTCACGCCTGTAATCCCAGCACTTTGGGAGGCCGAGGCAGGTGGATCACTTGAGGAATTCGAGATCAGCCTGGACAACATGGTGAAACCCCATCTCTACTAAAAATACAAAACTTAGCCAGGCCTGGTGGCATGTTCCTATGATCCCAGCTACTCAGGAAGCTGAGGCAGGGAATCACTTGAACCTGAGAGGTGGAGGGTGCAGTGCAGTGAACTGAGATGGCTCCACTACACTACAGCCTGGGTGACAGAGCAAGGCTCGGTCTCAAAAAAAAAAAAAAAAACAAATTAATGCAACAAAATTAAGCATCAAAAAAAATGCTGAATAAAAACAGAGTGCAAAGGGATACATTAGAGAAAGAGAGCAATTATATACAGTTGGTTTGTTTTGTTTTGTTTTTTCTGAGACAGTCTCTCTCACACAGGCTGGAGAGCAGTGGTGCGATCTTGGCTGACTGCAACCTTGGCCTCCCTGGTTCAAGTGATTCTCCTGCCTCAGCCTCCTGAGTAGCTGGGACTACTGGTGCACACCACCACACCCAGCTAATTTTTGTACTTTTTAGTGGAGAAGGGGTTTCGTGATATTGGTCAGACTGGTCTTGAACCCCTGAACTCAAATGATCTGCCTGGCTCGGCCTCTCACAGTGCTGGGATTACAGGCATGAGCCACCACACCCGGCCTACATACAATTTTAAAACAGGTAAAACAAATACGTGCTTAGGTTAGTGGTTACCTCTGCAGAGGTGGGAGGAGACAGATCAAGGAGGAGTATGTGGGCAACTGTATTTATAATATCCTATTTCCTAAGCTGGGTGATGAGTACATATTAATAGTTTGTTGTAATAGTCTCTGTACCTATAACAAAATAACTTAGAGTTAATGGATTGTTTTAATTTTAATTTCTTTTTTTTTTTTTGGAGAAACAGGGTCTCATTCTGTCACCCAGGCTGGAGTACAGTGGCACAATCTCAGCTCACTGCAGGTTCAACCTTCTGGCCTCAAGCAGTCCTCCCACCTCAGCCTCCTGAGGAGCTGAGACTACAGGCATGTGCGAGCATGCCAGGCTATTTTTTTAATCTTTACTAGCGATGAGGTCTCACTATGTTGCCCAGGCTGGTCTTGAACTTCTGGGCTCAAGCAATCCTTCCACCTTCGCCTTCCAAAGCACTGGTATTACAGATAGGAGCCACCACGCCTGGCCAAGTCAGTGTTTGAAAATAATTCGTGTTGGGCACAGCGGCTCACACCTGTAATCCCAGCACTTTGGGAGGCCTAAGTGGATGGATCAACTGAGGTCAGGAGTTCAAGACCAACCTGGCCAAATGGTGAAAACTCATCTCTACTAAAAATACAAAAATTAGCTGGGCACGGTGGCACGTGCCTGTAAGCCCAGCTACTCAGGAGGCTGAGGCAGGAGAATCGCTTGAACCTGGGAGGCAGAGGTTGCAGTGAGCTGAGATCGCACCACTGCACTCCAGCCAGGGAGACACAGCAAGATTCCATCTCAAAAATAACATAAAATAAAATAATTTAGAGGGCAAATTTCCTTCATCTTCAAGCTTAAAAAACATAAAGACCTTTAACTCTTTGCTCTCCATGTTTTAGCACTGAAAGTTCCACACTCCAGGAAACCCCTATGAAAGTCCCACACTCTAGAAAACCCCTAAGTCCCAGGCCCACCAGGGCCGTTTGTCATCCTATAGTGATACTAAGACAATACGTAAAATGTTGGCATGTTTATGGGGCTTCTTTGGGGTGTGTGTGTTGATTTTTGTTTCTTTTATTTAAGCCGGCTGAAACAATTAAAGTATTTTCTACTCACTGGTTGAAAAAATAAAAACAGACATTCTTGTATCTCTGTATTTTTTTATAGTGTACATGTATTCCAGGTACATGTAATGTATGAACATGCATAAATACATGAAGGAAAAAGAAAAGTAGAGAAAATCTGAGGTAACTATCAGTACCAAAACAACCCTAGGATCAGTTTCTACAACCTAATGACACACAATAAATTTCTGTCAAATGAATCAGCCAACCAAAAAGACCAGACCAATGTCAGTCCCTTGGCTGAGCAGGAAGGAGAAGCAATAACCAGCCATTTGGAAGCTGCTCACCTGAACATGTGTCTTCAGCAGATGACTGTGCATCTGCAGCTCTCTTGGCACCTCTACAGACTTCACGCCAACAAACTGCAGGAGGTCGAGGGGCACACCTGTGCTCCAGGTGGTGATTCGTGCTTCTGGCTGAGCCAGGCCCTGCCAGTGGGCCTGCAGGTTCAGGGCAGGGGGGCTGTAGTGCGCCATGTTATTTAAGTGATCATTCAACTTAGCATAGTAGGAGGATTTTATTTCAGACACCTCCTCCTGCGTCATGAGTCCACTGGCAATGAGGTGCTCTGCATATGTGTCTGGGATACTCTTTCGAGCTCTGTCCAAGAAAGAGGAGAAACAAAAATCAATCTGACCTGTAACAATCTAACAGAGACAGAGAGAGTCACTGTCAAGTGCGGTGGACTGTCAGCACTCTAAAAAGGCATTCGACAGGCGCAGTGGCTCACGCCTGCAATCTCAGCACTTTGGGAGACCAAGGTGGGTACATCACCTGAGGTCAGGAGTTCGGGACCAGCCTGGCCAACCTAGTGAAACCCTGTCTCTACTAAAAATACAAAAAAATAGCTTGGCGTGGTGACAGGCGCCTGTAATCCCAGCTACTCAGGAGGCTGAGGCAGTAGAATTGCTTGAACCTAAGAGGTGGAGGTTGCAGTGAGCCGAGATCGCACCATTGCACTCCTGCCTGGGCAACAAAAGTGAAACTCTGTCTCAAAAAATAAATAAATAAAGGCCGGGCTCAGTGGCTCACGCCTGTAATCCCAGCACTTTGGGAGGCCAACGTGGGTGGATCACAAAGTCAGGAGATTGAGACCATCCTGGCTAACACGGTGAAACCCCGTCTCTACTACAAATACAAAAAAAAAAAAAAAAAAAATTAGCCGGGCGTGGTGGCGGGCGCCTGTAGTCCCAGCTAGTAGGGAGGCTGAGGCAGGAGAATGGTGTGGGAGGCGGAGCTTGCAGAGAGCCAAGATTGCGCCATGGCACTCCAGCCTGGGCAACAGAGCGAGACTCCGTCTCAAAAAATAAATAAATAAATAAATAAATAAAAACAAAATAAAAAGGCATTCAGGAAAAATGTTTTGGAACTACACAGAAGTGGTGGTTGTACCACTTTGTGAAGGTAAATAAATGCCACTGAGTTGTTCACATTAAGATGCCAATTTTATATTATGTCATGTTCATCTCAATAAGTTTATAAAACATAAAATAAATGAGCAATGTTAAATATAATTAATTAATTTAATAAATGAAGGCACTCACAGTAACAACCTCTTTTCCAGGCAAGTAAGAGAAAACAAATTTATCTTTATAAGTTTTTGTCTGCATCCAAGTAGAAATAATAAATAGAGTTTTTCTATGATTTGATAAATTCTGACAATTATTTCCAAGACTGACCCACACTGTCTATCCAATCAGCACCCCCCTTTATTTAAAAAGGTATGGAACCCAAAGTCGCCCCAGTCTCTGAAAGTTGCAATCTTTCAGGTTGCGTCAATCATCCTTTAACTACAATCATCAGCACCTGGGTGTCACAATAAATGTCACTCTACATTCATGTAATATCTTATAAAGTCTATTCACATATATTATCATATTTAATCCTGATAAAAGAGAGAAGAAAGCATGATAGATTTTAAAGTTAAGGCCCTGGGGCCAGGTAAGGAGACTCATGCCTGCAATCCCAGAACTTTGGGAGGCCGAGACAGGCAGATGGCAAGACCAGCCTGGGTAGCACTGTGAGACCCTGTCTAGTCAGGAGTAGTGGCAAGCGCCTATAGTCCCAGGTACTCAGGAGGCGGAGGTGGGAGGATCGCTTGAGCCCAGGAAGTCCAGGCTACAGTGAGCCGTAATCACACCACTGCACTACAGCCTGGGCGACAGAGCAAGACCCTGTCTCAAAAAAATAAATAAAATAAAATAGGGCCCTGAGGTTCATTGAGTCATTCAGCTGCTAAATTCAGAGCTAAACAGAACACAATTAGTTCTTCTGAGAGCAGTCCTCTTTCTGGTACCAAGGATCAGAAAAGCCCATAAAATGTTTATTCCTCTGCTTTAATTTATGTATATAAGGAAGTAAGCTGGAGGACGGGCATCTATTTTATTTCCTAGTATCTAGAAAACGAAGTTCCAAAGTAACGAATTCCCCCTCTGTTACATTAACCATCTGAATCAGCACCACTGGACAGAAATGAAATGCAAGTCATGAGTAATTTAAATTTTTCTGGCAGTCACATTAGAAAAGGTAAAAAGAAACAGGTGGAATTAATTTCTTTTCTTTTTGTTTTTCCTTTGAGATTGAGTCTTGCTCCGTCACCCAGGCTGGAATGCAGTGGCACAATCTCAGCTCACTGCAAAGTCTGCCACTCCAGGTAGAGCGATTCTCTTGCCTCAGCCTCCTGAGTAGCTGGGACTACAGGCACATGCCACAGCGCTGGCCAATTTTTGTATTTTTAGTAGAGACGGGGTTTCACCATGTTGGCTAGGCTGGTCTCAAACTCCTGACCTCAAGTGATCCACCCACCTCAGCCTCCCAAAGTGCTGGGATTACAGGTATGAGCCACCATGCCCAACCATTTCAATAATATATTTTATTTAAGTCAATATACTCATTATATTTTCATTTCCATATCTAATAAATTTAAAAATTATTATTTTGGGTTTATATTTTACATGCTAAGTATTTGAAATATGGTGTATGTATTATCTTTATAGCACATTAATCAGGACTAGCCACTTTTCAAGTATTCAATAGCCACTGATGGCTAGTGGTTTCCATCTTGGACAGCATGGTTCTGAACATTCACTAAAATCCTCTGAGTTACCTCTTACCAAGGTGCCAGGCAGGTCTGCAGCTATGGTTTGTAGAAATGGATCGCTGAGGTTCTATTTCTGGTCCTGCCAACACTGCAGTAAGTAGATTTGGGTGAGGTTTGCTTAATTCCCCCTGCTTCAATCTTCCCATCTGCTGAGTTTCTAAATTGCCCTTTGTCTATTTAATGAGGAACCATGTGAAGTGTGAAGAGTATGTGAGGCCAGGCACAGTGGCTCATGCCTGTAATCCCAGCACTTTGGGAGGCCAAGGCGGGCAGATCACTTGAGACCAGGAGTTCGAGACCAGCCCAGCCAACATGGCAAAACCCCTGTCTCTACTAAAAATACAAAGATTAGCCAGGCATGGTGATGCATACCTGTAATCCCAGCTACTCAGGAAGCTGAGGCACATGAATTGTAATTGCTTGAACCCGGGAGGCAGAGGTTGCAGTGAGCTGAGATTGTGCCACCTGCACTCCAGCCCAGAACTGTGTCAGCTTTAGCATTGAAAGTTTCATGTCCTGCCTGAGCATGGTGGCTCGTGCCTGTAATCCCAGTACTTTGGGAGGGCGAGGCAGGCAGATCACCTGAGGTCAGGAGTTTGAGATCAGCCTGGCCAACATGGCAAAACTCCGTCTCTACTAAAAATTACGAAAATTAGCCAGGCATGGTGGCACACGCCTATAATCCCAGCTACTTGGGAGGTTGAGGTAAGAGGATCACTTGAGGCAGAAGGATCACTTGAACCCGGGAGGTGGAGATTGCAGTGAGCCAAGATCATGCCACTGCATTCCAGACTGGGCAACAAAGCAAGACTCTACCTCAAAAAAATATATATGTATTTTAATTGTTAGGGAGCATATCACACAAGGGTTTATAATTGTACCTGATGATTTTGTACATGATGGGGTTGGTGAAGAATGGCTCATCCAGCTCATTGTGGCCCCACTGCCTGTAGCACAACAGATCAATAATCACATCCTTGCGGAACTGGCGTTGGTATTCAAAAGCCAGTCGTGTGGCACGGACCACTTCCTCTGGGCTGTCTCCATTGACATGGACGATGGCACAGCCCACAAGCTTTCCTGAAGGACAGAAGACCAAGCTGAAACAGGACAGTTAACACTGGCCCTCTCTAAGCCCTACTTCCTGCATCAAAAGACAGCCCAGTCCTCACAGGTAGATACTGGTTTGGTTAAGAACCCCAGCTTTGGAGACCAGCTGGCAAGTTCCAACTCTGGGACTTATTGTGTGACCTTGGTAAAGCTACAAATCTCAGCCTCCTTATCTATAAACCGGGAATAGGGGCTCCTATCTCTTAGTGATACTGCAAAGGTTCAATGAGTGAATGCACACACAATTGTAATGCCTAACAGTGCCTGGTACATAGTAGTTAATATTTATTTTGTTACTGTTATTATTACTACTCTCTTTCTCCCTGAGATAAAAGGGTCATTAAAGGATATACCCTAGAAAAAGATAAATTTTCTCCAAAGAAGTTCAAGAATGGATCTTCAGCATCTTCATCAGACTAATCATAAAGGATTCACATAGACAAGCCCAAGAGGCATCCAGTCCAGGTTGTTTGTATAAAAGGAGAATAGTTGCCATCATCAAACAGTCTTGTAATCTGTGAAACTGGGAATGGGTAATAACAGCCCTGTCTTTCTCTTAAGATGACCAATTTCAGCCTGGCGCAGTGGTTCACGCCTGTAATCTCAGCAGTTTGGAAGGCTGAAGGGGATCACATAAGACCAGAGGTTCAAGACCAGCCTGGGCAACACAGTGAGACTCAATCTCTACAAAAAATTATTTTAAAAATTAGCTGTGGCTGGGTGCCGTGGCTCACGCCTGTAATCCCAGCACTTTGGGAGGCCAAGGCGGGTGGATCACCTGAGGTCAGGAGTTTGAGACCAGCCTGACCAACATGATGAGATCCTGTTTCTACTAAAAATACAAAAATTAATGGCGTGGTAGTGGACACCTGTAATCCCAGCTACTCTGGACACTGAGGCAGGAGAATTGCTTGAACCCAGGAGGTGGAGGTTGTGGTGAGCCAAGATGGCGCCATTGCACTCCAGCATGGGCAACAAGAGTGAAACTCCATTTCTAAAAAAAAATTAGCTGTGCATGGTGGCATGTGTCTGTAAATCCCAGCTACTAAGGAGGCTGAGGAGAGAGATTCTGTTGAGCCTGGGATGTCAAAGCTGCAGTGAGCCATGACTGTACCACTGCACTCCAGCCTGAGTAACAGAGCAAGACTCTCAAAAAAACAAAAAACAAACAAAACAAACAAACTAAAAAACCCTACCAATTTCCATGGGTAAAAAAGAAGCTGACTTTGATTCTTCACATCTTATTTCTTTTCTTTTTTTTTTTACTTTGAGACAGAGTTTTACTCTTATTGCCCAGGCTGGAGTGGTGCAATGGCCTGATCTCGGCTCGCTGCAACCTCCACTTTCCAGGTTCAAGTGATTCTCCTGTCTTAGCCTCCCGAGTAGCTGGGATTACAGGCATGCGCCACCATGTCCAGTTAATTTTGTATTTTTATTAGAGAAGGGGTTTCTCCATGTTTGTCAAGCTGGTCTCGAACTCCCAAGCTCAGGTGATCCACCTGCCTCGGCCTCCCAAAGTGCTGGGATTTCAGGCGTGAGCCACCACGCCCGACCTTCACATCTTGTTTCTAACTATACTATTTCACCAAGTTTAGTGGTTGAACACATCCCTTTTCACTAAGCCCCTGGGCACTCCAAGTTTGAATATCCTAGAGATAACAACTCTGGTGTTGTACTCATTGTGTTGATCTCTGACTTGTACCAGATCACCCATCCAGTTATAAGAAATTTGAGATGGCACACTGTGGCTCCATCCTTACTTCCTTGGATTGAAGAATCACACTGATATGCTGGACGTGGTGGCTCACACCTATAATCACAGCACTTTGGGAGGCTTAAGCAGGCAGATCATCAGAGGTCAGGAGTTCGAGACCAGCCTGCCAACATGGTGAAACCCTGTCTCTACTAAAAATACAAAAATTAGACAGGTGTGGTGGTACACGCCTGTAGTCCCAACTACTTGAGAAGCTGAGGCATGAGAATCACTTGAACCCGGAAGGTGGAGGTTGCAGTGAGCTGAGATCAGGTCACTGTACTCCAGCCTGGGCAACAGAGCAAGACTCTGTCTCAAAAAAAAAAAAAAAAAAAA